ATTTTAATAAATGGTAGTGATCTTTAGAGTCACCATGTGTGTAATTTTTCTGTTCGAAAAATGAGTTTGTTTGTCATTAAAGGAACACTATAGTCACCAGAACTACAATTTGTTGTATTTGTTCTGGTGAGTGTAATTATTCCCTTCAGGCTTTTTGCAGGAAACAATATATTTTCAGAGCAAATGCAGTGTTTACATTACAGGCTAGGGATACCTCCACTGGCCACTCCTCAGATGGCTACTAGATGTGCTTCCTGGGGCAGTGTTGCACACTGTGCAATACTGCCATTTAGTGTCTCCACCCTCGGCATGGAGACACTGCTCTTTCCTCATAGAGATGCATTGATTCAGTGCATCTCTATGAGGAGATGCTGATTGGCCAGGTCTATTTTGGCTTGTACTGGCTCTGCCCCTGATCTGTCTCCTTGACAGTCTCAGTCTATCCAATGGTTTCCAATGGAAAAGATCAGGGGCAGAGCCAGCAGCAGCAGACTGGAGTAAATGTAAGATTTTTCTATATATAGGGGAGTCAGGGTTGCCAGGGGTCTAGATGGTGTTTTTAAAACTATAGGGTCAGGAATAATGTGTTCCTGACCCTATAGTGTTCCTTTAAACGTGGAATTATGGATAATTAATGAAGGAATTAGGTCAGTCTAGCAGATCTAGAGATGTTTTCCAGTTTTGCTCCTTTCTTAGATTAATAAATAACCCTGACAATCTATTTCATGCAGCAAATTGATACCTAATTTATCCAAACTGCATTTCGTCACATCACAGCAGAGTTGTGTTCATATATGAGAATCTGCCATTTCCAATCCTGATAGGAAAACTGTATGTAGACTGTAAATGTAATTCTATTTTGAGTGAGAGACCAAAGAATACTTTTTGATGAGACAGAAATAAGCCCAGTATGTTAGGTAGAGTTCTGCCAAAGATTGAAACTTTTCTGCTGTTGATGCCTTGGCTTTTCCTCATGTGGGTTTGAGGTCCGGACTCATTGATGATGTTGAAATTAACCATTATGGAGTTGTGAACTTTTAATATTGCCAGGTTACTTGTAAGTTATTTTGATGTGTCCCTCTACAATTTGCGATTTACAGACTTCCACTAGAACCTCAGTTATACCCACTTTACCCCCCAAAAATGTAGAGACATTTATTCAGAAAGCCATAAAAGAGATTTAAATGTGGCGCCAATGTTTTTTTTTTTTTAAATCTTTGCCAGCAGGCTGTTTGCATTGCCAATCACAAAACTGTTCAGATTTGTAAAGTCCGGGCCCTGGTTTTAAGTATTAAACCTGGATTTTTAAACCTACGGGTCCAGATATCAACAATCCAGCAACTTTTGCGTGACTAAATTCAGCCTCATTCATAGCCTGGTTTGCAAAATCTGGATATTGTTACATTCTCTGTACTGCAGCAAATGGTTTTGCCATTTGGACTTTAGCAAATAGCCCTGTAAATGTTCCTTAATACCCCAGCTGGTTCCAATATACTAAAACCCAGCTAGCATAGACCTTTGCCCCAGAGTACAGTCATATGCTCTCTCAAACTTAATTTATTGAAAGAGAATCATCTGGATATACAGTTAATTTAAAAACTATACAGTGCCTTGGGCGAAATCTGAGTTTTACTGCTCCTCTAACCACATAGACATTTGAAAAAATCTCTAGCAGCATACCATAACTCAGAAAGAAAATCATTACCATCTACAAGTTCAAAATATATATAGCAGAACAACAGATATATACATGCCGGCAGGGTACATATTAGATATTGCCAGATGAGAGATAGTATTAAATTATCCAGAGCAGGCAGACTTAATGCTTGCCACCAGCTATATATAATTCTGCCATTTCTGTAATTGTGTTTAAGAACAAGTTGGGTATAGAAAATGTTGCGAAGGGGAAATTTTTATTATTTCTTATTTATAAGCTCTAGCACAGGAGTAGTTAAATGGTAGATCCCCTACAACAGTCATAATGCTTTGTGACAACAGGGGTGGTGGAATATCACTACCGTTAGTTCTGCAACATCTGTGAACCTGGATTTCAGATCTTGTCTATTAGTAGGATGTAAAACTAAAGGGCCTAGTATATAAATAATTTTAGTTTATTGGAAAGGACGTTTGAGGTTTTTTTTATTTTTTTTTATATTTCATATTGTGATTTTAATGGAAATAGCCCCATTGGGTAGTATTCCCAGAATTAATGACAAATAATAGGTGTGTAAGCAGTGAATTTCAGTGCCTTTTAAACTGGATTGCAAAATTTAGATCAAGGTGGACGATTGGGAAAAAATATCTCCAAATATCCAAATTTGCTATAGCTTAGCTAGTTTAACATAAATGTTGCAATTTGGTTTTAATTTCATGAACAGTAAACATTTATTGACTAACCTCTAATAGTGAGTGAGTGGACCTCCAGATCTTGTTGAACTTCAACATGAATGATTCTCTGCCTATCTATTTTATTCGAGGAATCATTGGATGTTGTAGTTCAGCAAGAGCTGGAAGTCCAGTGTTTGGAGAACGCTGGTCTAGGCACACTTGAATAAAAGGAAAACGGAAGCTCGCCCATGTGAGCTGACTGTTTTTAGGGCAGTGCCATGAACCTAGAATCTCATTGACATAGTGTGATCCAAAAGGACATCTGAATGAATCCAATCTGCAGAATCCAAATGAATCCAACCCCACTCAAATTAACTGTACTTGGCTTTCTTAGAATAAAACTAAAGCAATATTAATAATAATGAAACAAATATTAATTACTTAATCTGTTGATCACCGATAGTACTGTACATAAAATCCTCAACGTTAGGTATTTGGTCGATTCCCTGCCGCCGTAATCAACTATCCAGGAGTTTTGCAATTACTAAGCACAGTGTTGCTGCTAATTATGTTGGAATGATAGACCCTATTTTATAATACATCCTGGGTTTGTGATTGTTTGCTGAATTTCAAGCAGAGAAAGCATTTTGACCCTACACGAGGAACAGGGCTAAAATGTACAGTATATGTAATAATTATCCCCTAAGCTTGGATTTCGTGAGATTGTTGGTCTCAGAATCTACACGGTTCTCTCAGATGGTTGGTAATTGCACAGGCTTCCTGCTTGCATCATTATCTTGTGGTCCGGAGGGTTTGTTTAAACACTGCTGAACAGTGATGCTGGGTTTATTTTATTCTTTCACTTATATTTAACTGTTAGTTGTGGATACAGACTGAGATAAGGGGAAATCCCCCCACAAAGTCATTTTGTTTTTAATTACAACCAATCAAGTTTTGTAACTTAATAAACAGCGAACATAATGGGAATTATAGTTATTGGCAGTACTACCTCAATTACAGATAAAGCAGCTGCTCCTGAGTTAATTCCAGAGCCTCATCTGAGAGGTATTTTCACTAAACTCCAAATTGTATTAAATTAAAATCTAAGTGGGTAAACATAGGCAAAAGTAGCTGGTTTGTAAATATACGCCAACTCAGCTGTAGTCACAACTTGGCTATTTTAGTCTATTATTTTGTCATTTAAATTTTATTTTACTTCAAATTGGAGTTTAGTGAATAATCCGGAAACCTAAACAACGTGAGAAAAAAAATGGGTGAGAGTAAGATAGAGAGATGATAGATTAAAAAGAGGAAAAAATGGCCAAGTAGCACAGGAAGGAAATGAGGCAATGCCAAGATAGTGGCAGAAAGAGAAACAGGCCTGGGATAATTCTGGTACAATGGCAACGAAATAAATAGTCTACAAAGCAGAGGATCTTGCCATGAAGAAGGAAAAAGACTGGAAACACAGAGCAGGGTGAAAAAAAATAAAAATAGTTTGTTACATTCTGTTATAATACTATATATATATATATATAATATATTTCCATTGTAGAAACATAGAAACATAGAATGTGATGGCAGATAAGAACCATTCGGCCCATCTAGTCTGCCCAATTTTCTAAATACTCTCATTAGTCTCTGGCCTTATCTTATAGTTAGGATAGCCTTATGCCTATCCCACGCATGCTTAAACTCCTTTACTGTGTTAACCTCTACCACTTCAGCTGGAAGGCTATTCCATGTATCCACTACCCTCTCAGTAAAGTAATACTTCCTGATATTTTTAAACCTTTGCCCCTCTAATTGAAGACTATGTCATCTTGTTGTGGTAGTTTTTCTTCTTTTAAATATAGTCTCCTCCTTTACTGTGTTGATTCCCTTTATATATTTAAATGTTTCTATCATATCCCCCCTGTCTTTCCTCCAAGCTATACATGTTAAGATCCTTTAACCTTTCCTGGTAAGTTTTATCCTGTAATCCATGAACCAGTTCAGTAGCCCTTCTCTGAACCCTCTCTAAAGTATCAATATCCTTCTGAAGATACGGTCTCCAGTACTGTGTACAATACTCCAAGTGAGGTCTCACCAGTGTTCTGTACAATGGCATGAGTACTTCTCTCTTTCTACTGCTAATACCTCTCCCTATACAACCAAGCATTCTGTTAGCATTTCCTGCTGCTCTATTACATTGTCTGCCTACCTTTAAGTCATCTGAAATAATCACCCCTAAATCCCTTTCCTCATATGTTGAGGTTAGGATTCTATGAAATATTCTGTACTCTGCCCTTGGGTTTTCACGTCCAAGATGCATTATCTTAACTTAGCCACATTAAATGTCATTTGCCACAACTCTGACCATTTTTTTAGTTTACCTAAATCATTTGCCATTTGGCTTATCCCTCCTGGAACATCAACCCTGTTACATATCTTAGTATCATCAGCTATATAGATCAATCATTAGTAATGTGAATGTCAATACACCTTTGTCATAGTGTCACTTAGTTTAAGTTTTCGAGCCTGTGAGTAGGTGATCTTTTCCCACTTAAGTTTGTTGGATGGAAAACGTTCAGTTAATAGACCTGTGAAGAACTCTTTGATTTTATATAAAGTATGCATGTGTGAGGTGCTGTTGAGTTAAGTACAAAGCACAAATCTTTTCAGATTTACTTAGGCACAGATGGGGATTGAACCCATGATGTTTGATTTACGAGACTAACCACTTACCACTTGGACAATGCGCCTTCCAGACCTCCATCCCCACGTCTGACACCATTCCACTTTGTCTCGTTCTCCATTTACCTTTCCAGTTTGGTGCTTATAGTGTCCTTTTAATAAACTTGATTTAAAAAAGTATGAAAACAGTCTGGAGAAACCTGATAAAAACGAGAAGGGTTTTAAAGGCTTGGAGTGGGAAATGCAGACTGTAAAGGGCTGAATGGGAATTAAGATGGAGAAGAGATGACTGTAAGATTGGTAAAATGTTTAGAACAAAATGGAGAGCTGCCAGAGAGGGGGGTGTTCTATCAGTACCCCTCCCCGACCATTTTAGCTACATCCACATTCTTAATGGTTAAAGAATACTGATTAAACTGCACATCACCAACCATGGCTCATGTATAATATATATATATATAAAGGGAAGTAGTCTTGGCACTCACCCTATTTTAGATCTTGAAAAAGACCCTACAGGGGTCGAAACGTCGATCACAGAGTTTATCTGCACATGTAATTTGCACCAGTAAATAAACGAATCATCGTATCAAGACATGTAAATGCACCTTTTTTCCTAATTTTTGGTCTATATATATATTAAAGCATCCACTAATAACCCAGTAAAATTGATCCTGTGGAAAAAATCTGTTTGTGCAAGTGAAATAATTTGTCCCCGCTAGGCTTAGCACTGTTTTGAATTCAATGTGGCAGTTTTGCACACTGTCTCTATCCCATGCTACGTGTTATTGAAGAATGAGCCCTTGTTCTTCCATTCAACGCTGTTTTATTTCCTCTCCACATTTGTATAATATCTATGAAAGGCAAGAGGGAGGGAGCAGACAATAAAAAAATAATTGAATGTGTAAACACAGTAGCTCTTATTATCTTGCAATGCTGGGATTTTATTTAGTGGAATTACTTGAGCCCAAATTCATTTGGAGCTTCAATGCTTCTGTTAAAATATAATTTGCCAGCGCTGTATTCCTCTGTTTTTTTATCATGCTCGATTCACTATGTATTTTGGTATAACACTGCTACTCAGACCTTGCTTATCATGACCAAAGTTGAAGAATGCAGAGAAGAAACATTTTATTCTGAGATGCAGAAGGCTGCTAATGACACACAGATACTTAGTAAACACAGATAAGATGATCACAGATTGACCTTGACCAGTCTTTTCAAAGTCACATCTTGTATCATTGCATAAATATGTTCTATTAGCAAAACAGGTAAGAAACGTGTAATCAGATGCATAGAAATATCTTTGTTTTTTTATGACTTCTGAACTGTACAACTTTCCATGGCCATACTGGGAAAACAGAGCAATATGGGAAATATTTACATTTAAACTACTTCATCCCCTCCCCTTAGCTTTTATTTATTTATTTCTAAATACATAGATCCTATCATTCACACATGCTCATATACATCCAGACATTCCAACATATTCAAACACAAAGAACCAGCCATTCACACAGATACAAAAAAAGATATGGTCCAGAACACTTTTATATTTCAGCAATGTTGGTTTACTACTTCCAGTGCATACGTTAGGCCACTGATAGCAACTAACAATTATTGCTGAAATTTAAATGTGTGCTGGACCATATCTGTTTATTTATGCTGTATACTGGACTACAGATCCAGAGAAACATAGAATGTGACGCATAGGCGTGCGCACGGGGTGTGCTGGGTGTGCCTGGGCACACCCTAATCCCCGCGGCACGCCTATGTATATTGAGACCGGCAGGGGAGATCTCAGGATCTCCCCTGTCGGCTCATGCAGAGACGGCGCTATCCGAGCGCCGGCTCTGCTCTCAGCCTCCCTCCCCACTGACCCACATGCAGGGAGGGAGGCAGGAGAGGACCTGGCGGAGCTATTGCCGGCAGCTCCGCCGGGTTCCTCTCGCGAGATATGAGCGTTGCCACGGCAACGCTCAAATCTCGCGAGAGTGAACTCTAGCCCCACAGGGGCTAGAGTTCACTCTCCACTGGACCACCAGGGATGGAATCAGCAGCACAATCCCCCCTCCCTACAAAAGGTAAGAAGGGAGGGGGGATAGCAAGTAATGTACCCCCACCTCCACCCCCACAATCACCCACCCACATACAGCACACACACATACAGCACACACAGACATACACAGCACCCACACACATACAGCACCCACACACATACAGCACCCACACACATTCAGCACCCACAGACATACACAGCACCCACACACATTCAGCACCCACAGACATACACAGCACCCACACACATTCAGCACCCACACACATTCAGCACCCACAGACATACAGCACCCACAGACATACAGCACCCACAGACATACAGCACCCACACACATTCAGCACCACAGACATACACAGCACCCACACACATTCAGCACCCACACACATTCAGCACCCACAGACATACAGCACCCACAGACATACAGCACCCACACACATACAGCACCCACACACATACAGCACCCACACACATACACATTACCCACACACATACAGCACCCACACACATACAGCACCCACAGACACAGCACCCACAGACACAGCACCCACAGACATACACAGCACCCACACACATACAGCACCCACACACATACAGCACCCACACACACATACAGAACCCTCACAATCACACAAACAGCACCCTCACACACACACAGCACACTAACAGTACCCTCACAAACACAAACAGGACCCTAATAAACACACACACTACCAGTACCCTCACACACAGTACATTAACAGCACCCTCAGAAGCGCGCACACACACACAAACAGCACCCTCACACACAGTACATTAACAGCATCCTCACAAGCACGCACACACAAACCCCCTCACCCACATAGCACACTACCAGCACCGTCACACACACATCACACTAACAGCACCCTCACACAGCACACACACACACACAGCAGTGTGTGTATGTGTGTATATATGTGTATGTATATATATATATATATATATATATATACACACACACATATATATATATCTACATACATACATATATATATATGTGGTGTGTGCTTGTGCTTTAGGGTGCACACCCTAATGCAATAGGCTGCGCACGCCTATGATGTGACAGCAGATAAGAACCATTCGGCCCATCTAGTCTGCCCAATTTTCTAAATACTTTCATTAGTCCCTGGCCTTATATTATAGTTAGGATAGCCTTATGCCTATCCCACGCATGCTTAAACTCCTTTACTGTGTTAACCTCTACCACTTCAGCTGGAAGGCTATTCCATGTATCCACTACCCTCTCAGTAAAGTAATACTTCCTGATATTATTTTAAACCTTTGTCCCTCTAATTTAAGACTATGTCCTCTTGTTGTGGTAGTTTTCTTCTTTTAAATATAGTCTCCTCCTTTACTGTGTTGATTCCCTTTATATATTTAAATGTTTCTATCCTATCCCCCCTGTCTCGTCTTTCCTCCAAGCTATACATGTTAAGATCCTTTAACCTTTCCTGGTAAGTTTTATCCCGCAATCCATGAATCAGTTTAGTAGCCCTTCTCTGAACCCTCTCTAAGGTATCAATATCTTTCTGAAGATACGGTCTCCAGTACTGTGTACAATACTCCAAGTGAGGTCTCACCAGTGTTCTGTACAATGGCATGAGCACTTCCCTCTTTCTACTGCTAATACCTCTCCCTATACAACCAAGCATTCTGCTAGCATTTCCTGCTACTCTATTACATTGTCTGCCTACCTTTAAGTCATCAGAAATAATCACCCCTAAATCCCTTTCCTCAGATGTTGAGGTTAGGACTCTATCAAATATTCTGTACTCTGCCCTTGGGTTTTTACATCCAAGATGCATTATCTTGCACTTATCCACATTAAATGTCAGTTGCCACAATTCTGTCCATTTTTCTAGTTTACCTAAATCATTTGCCATTTGGCTTATCCCTCCTGGAACATATCTTAGTATCATCAGCAAAAAGACATACCTTACCATCAAGACCTTCTGCAATATCACTAATAAAAATATTAAAGAGAATGGGTCCAAGTACAGATCCCTGAGGTACCCCACTGGTGACAAGTCCAAGCTTCAAATATATTCCATTGACTACAACCCTCTGTTGCCTGTCACCCAGCCACTGCCTTACCCATTCAACAATATCGGAATCCAAACTTAAAGATTGCAGTTTATTGATAAGCCTTCTATGTGCAACAGTGTCAAAAGCTTTACAGAGGTGAATGACACCCTTGTAAGGTATCTTCAAATGTGACTGTTCACCACTATTACTCTTCTAATATGCACATACAGTTGCAAGAAAAAGTATGTGAACCCTTTGGAATGATATGGATTTCTGCACAAATTGGTCATTAAAAGTGATCTGATCATCATCTAAGTCACAACAATAGACAATCACAGTCTGCTTAAACTAATAACACACAAAGAATGAAATGTTGCCATGTTTTTATTGAACACACCATGTAAACATTCACAGTGCAGGTGGAAAAAGTATGTGAACTCCTAGACTAATGACATCTCCAAGAACTAATTGGAGTGAGATGTCAGCCAACTGGAGTCCAATCAATGAGATGAGATTGGAGGTGTTGGTTACAGCTGCCCTGCCCTATAAAAACACACACCAGTTCTGGGTTTGCTTTTCACAAGAGGTGCCTATTGGGTGGCCCTAAGTGTAAGAGACACCTTATAGTTAACCACAGTTTGTGGGCAATAGTTCCACCGCTGCCAGCAATGCACAGCCACCAAGGTTTAGATAGGAATGCTTTGTTTTATATTAGTAAAACTAGTGAGTTCAATTAGTTTATTTGCTTTGCTACCTCTTTTAAAAGATCTTTAAAAGCTTTGTATTTTAGGAGTTTTATCTAATTATCATTCATTCATCAGACATTGAAACCTTTTTAATCATTCATGAAATTACATGTTAATTACTTCAATTAAATTATTTTGTTGACAGTATGACGGATTGCGGAATGGGAATCGTTTCAGACAACAAAATCATATTTTCTGCAAGACTGGCAGGTTATTGCTAGGA